GTAATGGCCAGAGATGTCGATCGGTTCGACCTAAAACCATATTGGCAATCAGAGAGGATTTTATGTCTATCAATAAATGTATCTAATCTATTATTAAAGAGTTTTTCCAAGATTTTTGAAAACTGTGACAACAGAGAAACCGGTCTATAATTTGTGAAGTTGTGCTTATCCCCAGATTTATACAATGGAATAACCTTTGCTATTTTCATATTATTGGGGAACTGACCAAGTCGAAACGACATGTTAAAAACATGGGTTAATGGTTTGCATATCCCCTCGATTGCCCATTTAACCATTGTCATACTGATACCATCACTATCACTGGATGATTTATTACCACATTTGTTCACTATATCTATAATTTCCTTTTCAACAATTGGCTTAAGAAACATAGAACACATATTTCTTTCAATTGTATTTGATACAACCTGGGCACAATATGAACAAAACAATTCACCGGAGCCGATTCTAACCGTCCTGACCACCCTAGGCAGGCACAACAGTTACAAGGGTGACACTTAAATTACTGTTGTGCCAGAGGCAACATTTGAAGGACCCAGATGCAACTTAGATCAAGCTAGAATCAAACCTGTGTTTAATAAACAAGATGCATGTGACCTGCTTTTGAGGGATTATTTCCTAGAGGAGACCTGAATTTCATCCTGTAGCTAATTCAACAGTAAGTGAAAAGGCAGAGAGGTTTAGAATTGGTAATAATTAATAGTTTTTCTCAGTCGTTTTGGTACATGGATCAGAAAATGAAATTCTCTAAACTAATTGCTCACCCTCCACATCATCCAGTCACCTGTGCACATCAAATAAATAATTTCTCATTGTTTTTAACAATTTGCAAAATTCACATTCATGCTAATTGTCTGTTTTCTACATTATCAGTCACTTATGTCATGTTGATCAAAGTGTATTATGTGGTTCTCTGAATAGTCTGACCTTCCAAAACATTGAGACATCCGTTCATTTAAGATGTCATTACATGCAAAATGGGTGAACTAGTTGTCTTTAGTATCTGTCAGACATATTTCTGTACAGCTCTATTAGACTTTTGTGCCCTGAATTGTTGAGCTGCTCTCAGGTGAATCTTGACTTTCACTAATGAAGGGTAATGTGTTAGATCAACCAGTGATCAACCAGGTCACTACTGTCAAATATCTCAGAGGTGCATCTCATCAACCTTCAATTAGCAAACACATATAGACAGAGCACCACACAGTGTTACAGTTTCTGACAATAGAAGAAAGAGGAAATGAACAGTGTCAACTGCCAGATAGAAGAAGAGGAGTAGGGTGGTGGGAGTGGAGAAGAGGCTGAGGACATAGCATGTTCCAGATGAAATAAGGGCCACGCTTGTGGACCATGTTGTCAATCACGGCCTTACAATGACTGAGGCTGGTCAAAGGCGGTGAATGTTGTGAGAACAGCCAACTGTTCTGTCCAGGGGGGTTTCATCTGTTTACATTTCTAATGGTGTCTTTTCCTTTGTGCTATGCAGTGCTGTAAAACACTTTTCTGTATCACAGTGACAATAAAAACAATGAAAATGTAAATGTGAATCTGTCCGATCTTTCTCAGTCTCCCACATACAGCAATGTGAAACTGTTCTGCTGAAACTGCTACATGCCGTACAGAACAAATGCAGCCGTGTGTATTTTCGTTGTCATAACCTGTGCCATGGTTTACATATGGAAATACTTCCAGAGTACACTGTTAGAGCGACAACATGCCTCAACAGTCTGCCTGTCATGTTCGTAAACAAAGGATTTTGAGCAAGTTTTGTGCTTTTGTAGGTAACCCATGTGGTGGTGTTTGTACAAACTATTCAGAAAAATGCTCTTGCTGTTTGGCAAATATTAAGGATGATTTGAGAAATATATCAAAGCGACTGAGGAAAACTGTAAAAAAAAATGAATAGCACACAGGAACAGATCGAGTCTGTAGACCGACTGCATAGCACATAGGAAAAGATACCATTAGAAATGTAAACAGATGAAACCCCCCTGGACAGAACAATTGGCTGTTCTCACAACATCCATGAATTTAATACTAAATGGACAGGACATCAGTTTAACATATGTACATGCTTCTTTTGATTGCTTTCATGTGTCCTCCTGTATTAGAGTCTGCTCAGTGCAAGACGCTGCCTGGCCACCACTATGATAGGCTGCTGCAGACATGTGTTTCGTGTACTAAGATTTGTGGCAGACATCCAGCAGAATGCGCCCCACACTGTGAGAGTGAGTACTGGCCCTGTTGCCCTGGATAGGGTTTTAAATTTTATGACCTTCATTTTAGTTGTTACAATTTGGGATTTGTTGCTGTTAAATCTCAGTGGACAGTTTTCAAAATTAATGGAAAATTAACTCTGGTCAAACTACAAATAAATACCAATCACAGTGAATTTTGTGCAAGGTCAGCAGGTAACTAACAAGCTTACCTAAATACAGTAGCTATGACCAGAAAGCCCCTACCCAGTCCTCTCTTTACTATTAGCTGTTCAATAAAGAAATAAAATGTCCAATAAATATTTAAAAGAATCTCCTATAGCTCAGATGACAGCGATCATATTCTTCCCATCTATCCTCCAGCTCCGCAAACTCCTGTGAAGACGATAAAGCCCACAGCGCTGACAGACCTGGAAGGCTCCACCATAGTACTCTACTCCCTGCTGGCACTGTGCGCGGTGCTGCTTGTTTCTAGCTTGTCTATAGCCTTCACAGTCTTTCTTAGGAAATGCAGGGCCAAACCCTCTAACCTAGGAGCCAAGGAGGCTAACCCCAAGCAGAAGCGTGAGGTCCAGCCAGGCAAGGAGAGTGGCCTGCCAGGTGGCCAGCTGTGGCAGAGCTCCACAGGTTAGTGCAATATGGATACCATCAGTGCAGATCTCTTCATGGTCTTCCGTCTCTAAACTGAAGTTAGTGTCTTGGCATCTATTTATTTTTCTTCAGTGTGTGTTCACTACCCTCTCTGTCTACAGACTTAACAAGTTCAAGCCGTCCCATCGACCGTGAGACAGATGACCCCAGCCCGACAGAGACCTGTGTGTGTGTCCACTGTTTCCCTGACCTGAAAGCTACAGGCCTGAGCAATGACAGGCCCCTGAGAGCACCTACTGCTTACTACCAGCAAACGGTCCTCCATAGAGCCCAAACCCAAAATGGAGGTGCAGTCTGGACTGGAGGTCCAGGAGGAAGCAGCAATGGGATGGGGACCACTCATACTCTCTCAGCTTGAAGTATCCCACAAGAAAACCGGAATGGATAAATCAGATTTGTCGGTATATTTGATTTTAGCAGAACAAAAAACAAACAAAAAACTCTATTCCATCATACTCTCATGCTGCTGCAGATGCTGTCGGTGTTTAAAAAGTCATTCTTCATCCAATGACGCACAGAAACAAGTGAAAGACATCTTTCCATTCAAAAACCGTAGAAAAACAGGTTTCTCACTCTGATGAGGACAGAATTGGAATTTTGTGATACAGAGCAGTGGAAGCTTTACTGCACAATGCTCTGTTTGCACATAACTGAATGTAACTGATTCGTTTATCAGGGGTTTCATGAAAAATGGTTCACTTTTTTTGCATCATGATTACTGAGGCTGGACTACTGTATTGTCAGATTATTTCCTTTCACACACGCCACATGGCAGGCAGCAGTCACCTTTAGTCTTTGTGAAACTTTTAACAGGAGTCCTGAGGCAAAGTGAAGAAAAGCATCAGTCCATCTTCATCTTTGCAACTGACTTGGTGTCACCACTGCCTTTTAAGGGCAAAACACATTTTCAGTGATACTTAGTTTGCAGTACATCTACTAAAACGTTCCTGGCACTGAAAGGTTTTGCTCTTCACCACACAATCATTCCATTGTGGGAGAAGAAAAGAGGAGGTGGATGTAAAAACTAGATGAACAGCCAGTCTCGCCAACTACCTTGTGTAAACCAAATAGCCTGTGACAGTCCTGGAACCCCGCCAAACTATGGACAAATCCAGAAACAGCCCAACAGCAGCTAACTTCTGTCAGATCACAGTTTCACATGATGTCATTTCAGTAAAGCTATACTTGTGTGCCTGAGTTCATGCCTCCCAATCTTGTTTGCCGATTTTCCACCAAAACAAGTGAAGCACACGCTACATAACAATGCATTTCAAACAACAAATTGAGCAATGCTCCAGGTAGTAAGAAACAGTGCAATCCAAATTTAAGAAAACTGAAAGTCAAATAAAGTACAACTCTAAAGAAATAACTTGCTGTGGTGGCAAACGTCGTTCTAGATATCACCACTAGCAGACGACAAAGTCTACTGATTCCTTTATTGTTTCTCTGCAGCTAGTGGCACAAATGTGCATGCATATAAATAGAAAAATATATTTCATAATACATTATCAATGACAATAAACAAGCAACCCAAAGGAGTTTACAGATATAGATTTTCTTTATTTGAGTGCCCTTCCATCACTGTGTCCAGTCCTTTGCAGCAGTTGTGTGAGGAATGACTGACCGGGTCAAGACGAGATTCTTCTGATTACAACCCCGTGGCAGAATCCAGCAATATAGAGGAACAAATAAACTAAGGTTTCACCATTTGGCTCTTACATACAAACTGTACATACATACTTTTGCATACATCATCAATGTGGAAAAAAAAAAATCCTATCAAAATGTGATACCCAGCTCGGACAGCATGCTGAATGCAAGTACTGATTCAGTACATGGACATATGGTACATACGCACGCGCACGACACACGTGCATACAAAAAGAAACACATACACACTTTTTTTTTGTTGCTCTTTACACGCAGTAATACATTTTATAGAAACGCACATACACTGAGCTTTTTTCCTCCTGTCTCGGTCACATACACATGCGCACACACATACAAACACACCGAACTAGAGTGACATGCGGCCGACGGTTAATACTGTGGGATTGAGCCTCCGACCCTTTATACACAGGCTTTACTGAGAATAATATGCTCCTGTTTTGTTCAATTTCATTTTTTTTTTTTTGCCATTTACCGGAAACAGCATCACGACAACATATCTCGAAAATGGAGAATGTCAAAAACTTAACCAAAAAAAAAAAAAGCCAAACCAAACAAAAAGAAAAGCCACCATAGCAGCAGTTTCATAAAAAAATTATCAGCACTATTTTGCTGGGGTGTACAAAAAAACGACAACAAAAACACATGATTGACAGCACAACGTAACAGACAGTAGGAGCTTAGAGAATGCAAACCGTAAACAAATGTCAAAATTACAGTATGTATAAAAATATATTAACTGTGTAATCTGTTTCCCCTGTGACTGCAAGAAGCAAGAGAGGCAGAAAATAACCTTGTCCATGTTAAAGTGTTTCCTAAAAGCATCTCATTGACAACTACAAATTCCTCAGTTTGAACTGAATAAACTGTCTCTCTATGCAACGTTCATAATACCTTTGTTCAGGTGATTTTTTTTTTCCACTCTGCATTTAGAACAAAAATGCATAATAAGACAACATCCATCCTTGAAATATTTGGTCATTTGGAAGAGTGCGGGTGTTTTAGACGAGTGTGCTTGTGTCCACAAAGTTGCTCGTGAATCCTCTCAGGTCAAGTGAAATTTTTTTTTTTTTTTTTTTTGCTATGTGTTTTGGCATTAATGGATCTCCTGTTATGCATTAGATTCAGTATGTATCAGCTCAGTAGTGATTCTGAAGCAAAGTGATTCATAGGCAAAGAGTGAAACAGGAAGCTTGTCAGTCTGCCATTCTGTCTGTCTGAAAACCAGAAACATAGCAATACAACACTATTCTTCTATTATCTGAAAGGAAGTACAGACTGATTTTGAAGTATTTTCTTTCTTTTAGTAGATTATCACAGTTGCTTTCTTCTTTATCCTCAGAGTTCCAGTGCAAAACATAAAAATAAAAAATAAAATTAAATACTTGCAAGAATGCAATATTCCTTCAGGACCCAAACAAATTTCCCTTCGAAACTTCTTGCATTTTGTTTGGTTGTTATATCTTTGCTCTGTTGCACACAGCAGAGGGTTCGTCGTTGAACGTCGTACAAATGAGCTAGATAAGGATGTATAGGTGTGGTTCCATGTTAGAGCAAGAGTTATGACTTAAGAGTGATTCAGGTAGGCTTGTGTTTCTGTTTCCTTGCCTCTCTCATCACTATTACCTGTTCCCATGCAACTACATCCTTGCATCATCCCTCATCTCCTCCTGCAGTCTGGGCTGAGGGAGTGAACTACTCATACTCCAGGAATTGTTTGTGGTAAAACAAAAGGTACCTGGGGAGGTAAAACACCACAGGGTCAAACTGCAGTATTGCTAACAAGGGAGCAGTAAACTGTCAACCAGATACTGGAAACTCAAACGGTAATTAGTTGCATCGAACTAAACACAGCTTCAGCGTGAGGCTGCATGGCGTGGCGTGCTTAATGCTATGACTTACCCTTCACTGTCCAGTACGTCCTTGATGCTGGCCTTGGTGATGATGGCATCGTCACATTTGAACCACTGGTCCTTGTGCTGCCGGATGAAGGTGGTGTAATGGCCACTCTCTAGTGTCCCCTGGTGGTTCACCACAGCAAACAGACTATATCTGAAACAGGCAGGAAGAGAGAGAAGAGGATTAATGCTGCAACTAATGCACATGGAAACAAAGCTGAGAAAATAAATCTATTTCTAAATTTATTTTATACAGACAGGAAACATCAATGATGTCTATACAAGCATTATACTGCAGCTGTAAAATTAACATGCATTTCAAATGCAACTCAAAACACCTAAAAGTCAAACAGCAGTTTACACACTCATAACCAGCATTTTATTAGAATAATGCAAAAACACAGGTTGGTGGTGGACTCTCCCCAGTGCAATAGTATTTGCAGAGGAGAGCTGTGCACTGAATGCATAAGTGGAATCAGTGGGAGGAGGAGGAAGCAGTTCAGGAAACCAAATAAGACAGGTTTTGTTTATGAAAAGGGACCATTTCCCTTTATGAAGTTCCTGCACATACATTCTGTCAGGTCTGTTTTCAGGAAGGTCACTTACAGTGTATGACCTTACTGAGTCAGGTGACAGACTGATTACTTTTGGAATGTTCAGATACGAACTTGTTGTCATTGTTGAAGGGGTCGACGGTCTGCTGGTACTGCCCGTTCATCCTGCTTTCTTTACTGAAACACAAACAGCAGAACAATCATGGTCACTACACCGCCAGCTGTTCTTGGTGCCAAAAGTATTTTCAGCTGAACCTGTGTGTATGCACAGTACATACACATGGTTCAGGAGGAGCTAGAAACAGGTGCAAATACATTATTTGGATATGAACAGATTCTACACTCAGAGAAACGTCTAAATCTATTTTTAAATGCATACATTGTTGTCTAATGTGTCATAATTCACCATAAATGAATTCTTTTCTATTAGTTCAGTCTTCATTTAGATTGTAGTCACCTGGAGGCCATGAAAGGTGTCATGTCCAACTCCAGTGGAAAGGAGACATAAGTTGTAATCTTCCGCCGCAGTTTGGCTGAGTGCTCAAACCTCTGAAAACAAACACACATTACAACACTGTTCTGTTAGCCAAAATCACCTAAACTGGCAGTCAAGCCATCAAACACTTGCTCTTACTTTGAGGTGAAAGCAGGCTACGATAGGCAGCTTCTTCATGGTCAGTTGCTTGGTGGACTCTTGGTAACTATGGCAACCGCTACACTTGATTTTAGCGCTGCTGCCAAGGTGCTCTGGTCTGGTGAACCTAGACGAGAGAAGATGAGATTTAGTGCTGCCCCCGAGGTCCCCGCTCCCATGGATTTGGGAGAACAGGAATTGGTTTCAGGGAAGCGTGTATTGATGTGTGCTCGCCGCTCTCTGAGCGGTTTAGTGTGATGATTCTGGGAAGTGATTCTGCCTCGCAGTTTGTCAGTCCATACGTCTATTTATTTCTGTTTAGAAAAGGAAGCGATGCTGTTATAGTCATTTCCATTTTGGGACTGCATAGAAGTAGCTTTGATACACCAGAGCTAAATAATGTAGTATAATAATTACTGTATATAAAGATTAGTAAAGTAAATATAGTGGATTATTTAACATATTATGTGATGTAGGCTCAGTAACTAGGCTTTGCCACACAGGGAGTTAAATTTCAGTGCAGAGAGTTATCAGAGTGAAATCCCATTGGGCTGGGTGGCCAACAGGTTATGACACCAACCATGAAATGCCGCCATTACAGCAAAAAATAAATAAATAAAATCTTTGCCGTTTTTAATGCAATGCTATTTTCTGCAGGCACACAGGAGTCAGGATCAGACAGAAGTGAACAGATATAAAGGAACATTTGTCAGGATTTTCTTATGATAAGCAACCTTTTTCTCAATAAAGAGCCATGACAGCATGTCTGAGCATCCTCCATTCCACAAGCTTCTGTAGCTCAGTGCAGGCTCTGATTCAGCATTCTTTTCATGGATCTTTCCATGTTTCTGGAGTTTGCTGTGCATATTCTAAGACAATGTGGCATCCATGTCAAAAGTTGCTATATGATTAAATCCAGTATTACTAGATTTAACAACACATTACCATGTTGTTTAACTCATGTTTAAAGGGAGATCCACTCAGCTCTTTTATATGACTACATGGTGATATTCTTGACCACGTTTGTTTGCTGTGTTATTACCTGCGCAAACAATCTGTGAGTGTTGTGGCTCCAGTGGCGTGACACTCTCCGTTGAGTGCTGATCCATCTCCTCCGGGGCTGAGGGGCCAGAACGGCGTGGAGGAGCCCGGCAGGTCCAGGCTGATGTCCCAGAACGGGTCTATGGTTGTCGAAACGCCACTGGAGGGAAGACAGACAGACAAGATATGTATATATGAAATGAAAAATGAGGAAAATGCTGCAGTATATGTATCCAAGATGTTGATCTGTACAGCTTCCAGTCAGATACCCACTTGAAAGGGGGTGGGGGCAGACAATGCACTTTGTAGTGAGAAAGACTAAAAGGAGGAAGACAGAATCTGGCAGACTACACCTCTGCACTCCTAATGTTAGCTGCTATGAACTCTGTTGAACATCATTCATAGCAGCTCAGTGCTACAGTGAACTCTTAGGACCAGATCTACAAGGCTTTTGGGCTTGTTTTTCCACATTCACAACAGGCTGGAGATGCAGTGTACATACAATTTTAGCCAGTGTTTGCAAGGTGTGTCTGTCTCCTTATCACATGCGTTCATGAGAGGATCACGCAAAACAATAGGAAACATGTTAACACAAGCTGGCCATATATTTTGCTAGATTTACAACAGTCAAAGTATTTGTCAAGGACAGTTTTGTTGGAACAATTCTCTGCCTCAGCACAGCACAAATGAGATTTACATCAGCAACAAGCATGGTTATAGTGGTGGTGGGGAAAGAAATGTGTGAGCAGTGGCACACAAATTAAACAGAAAGCAACATTACATCAGTTGTCTTACAAAAGAGAACTAAAATGACCACTTTGCAGTTAAATGCTTTCACCAACCAGTCAAATTCAGAAAAGGACAGAGCTGAGGTCACTGCGACTTTGACCACCAAAATCTAACAAGCTCATCTTTGAGCTTTAATTGCCATTTGTGCCACATGTGGAGAAATTCCCTCAGGGATTTCCTGAGATATTGCGTTCACAAGAATGGGCCGTATGGATGGACAGACAACCTGAAAGCATAATGGCCCTAGCCATGGCTATCATCAGCGCAGGGGCATAATAAACTACTCCTGCATGAAAAATGTACTTCATAGCATCAAGATCCTAGAGTCTCTGGCCACCAGGTGGACCCAGACACCAGCTCTACACATTGTGTGCCATGAAGGGGCTTTTCTGTTGCTGCAGTGGAGTAGTTGAGTGTGTGTGTGTGATTGGTGAATGATTACAGCTGCAACATGTGAATGATGGTAGGAGGGCAGGCAGAAGGGTCACCCCGGGCCAAAAAAAATGAAAGAGTTAATGCAAAGTGTGCAATTTTGGAACAGATGCTTGGTCAAGACAGTACAAGTCAGGTATACTGCAAAACTGCATACGTGCACACACTTACTGGCAGACTTGACAGGTGACGTCAGACTGCAGGCCCCCTGTGAAGATTTGGTCGATGATGCAGTTACAGTGGTTAGGATTGTTGGCTTTCTTCCCATTGTCATCTGTGTGGATATAAAGACAAACACACACACACAGTCACTAAAAGCGATGCTGTGTAACTTTACTCTCTCCAGTCAGTGTGCCTGCCTTTTCTGATTCCAACCAACTCTCCTCCTCGCTAACTTATGCTCAGACTCATCTCTGCATTTCTTTTCTGCCTCTCTCTTGCCTCCATCATGTCTGTCCTTCTAATTTTATAGCTGTTGCTAGTGTTTACTAGCTGTATTTATTCATCATACAGTCTGTGTGTGTGTGTGTGTGTGTGTGTGTGTGTGTGTGTGTGTGTGTCTGTGTGTACAAGTGCATCTGACCTTTGCAATGTCTGTGTAGGACATCCAGCGCTGCAATGAGGAACTCGTGCGCATCCTGCTGCTCATAGCCAGCCAGGTGACGGGCGTGAGTCCACACCAGGTGGAGGAGGCGGAATGGGATATGAGGCGAGCGGTGACCCGAGTAGAACTGGACAAGAAACGTGTATGTGTGTGTCAAAGAAAGAAAGAGGAACCTCTTATCCATATTTTTTCACCAATTTTAACAAATGTAACAAACAGTTACCTCCTGGAAGAGTTGTGACATCTCACACACCAAGCAGGAGTTGCTCTGCATCTCGCACTTGTGTCGATCAGACAGGAAGAAGTCACGCAACAGCGGCGTGTGTGTCAGTGCCTGAACGATGCAGTTCATGAAACACGTGTTGCCCAGGTTTATCAGACCACGCAGGCCTGAGTGGAGAGAGAAAGACAAGAACTAATAAGAACGGAGAGAGAGCAGAGCAAAAGAACAGAAATGGCGAGTGGAGCGATTGTAGTTCAGTGGGTAGAGCGGTTGTCTCCCAACCGGAGGGTTGGAGGTTCGAATCATAGTGCCTGCAGTCCACATGTCAAAGTGTCCAATGGTTAGAGCCAGCGGTGTCGGCGCAGCAGATGGCTGCCATCGGTTCTGTACCAGAAACAAATTCCTGGTGCGTAACATACTTGGCCAATGAAGGTGAATATTATTAAACATGGGTAGAAGGTGGAGGTAAAAGGTACAAATTAAGAAAAAAGGGAGGACAGAGAGTGGGAGGAAGAGAGATCATTTTTCTTGGCTACTGCAGTGTATCAATGCAGTGACGCTGCCAACAGAGGACATCTAAAATACACACACACACAGTTATACCCTAATGTCCGTGAGGCAACACTGGACTGCACACACGGAAACTCATGTTGGATTACAGCAGACCAAACCACACACAGATGTAGATGAGGGAAGGAAGGAGAGGAGAGCAGGAGAGGTGGAAGGAATGGAGGAAAAAGGAGGAAGGAGAGGAATGAAGGACAAAATTAGTGTTCTCACAGATGAGCAGCCAGCCTGTAATTTCCCTCACGTTAGACAGTGCCAAGGCTGTTAATGGTGGTAGAGCAGATCCCTGCAGGGCTGCTACAAGGTGCTAAACGTATGCCAGCGCTCCTCTCTCCCACACACTGCTAGACCCTACCACTGCTCCATTCCAATGTTGCCTGTTGCTACACACATGTATTCTGTTGTTTTTCTATGAAGACAAACATCTTGTGCAATAGTTGCCAGCTGCACAGTGTTTCTGTATTTTTTCTAACTCCATGGACAAAATATTAAAACACCTTTCAATATAATACAGCCCAGTATGACACCAGCACCTGCTGCAACCTGATTAACAAGCATGAAGTCAAATTAGCTACTGTCTAACAACATCAACAAAAACTCTGTGCTTGATCAGCACATTGCCCTTGATTTGGAGGTAGTGTATGTGCATGAGGGAGTGAGCTAGCAAGTGAGACACTAACCAATAGTACAGTTGGATGTGATTCTCCTCCTCTTGGGGTTGTGGCGGAGCAGCTCCAGCTCCCTCTTGGTGGGCTCCCACGTTGAGTACTTCTCCCCTATGCCTGGACCACATACGAATACACAAACACATTTGAAGGTTCGCATCTTGCACTCTTCTTCCCTTTCAAGCTTTGGGAAGACAGGGCAAGTTTATTTGTGAAGAATGTGGATTATGTAACATCACAACAATTCAAAGTAACTGTACAAGATGACATAATGGACCCAAAGAACTAGGGTTTGAATATTAATAATAAATAAAGAAAATCTAAAATCGAGATCATCTAAAATGAATAGTTTCCACTATAATTTAATTACAGGTATGGGGAAAACAGAGGGGTTTAAGCTTTGATTTAAAATGTGAAACTAGGATGACAACTAACAATTACTTTCATTATTGTTCATTCATTCAGATTACCTTATTATTTCCTTTATTAATCAACTACTTTATAAAATGTTAAAACCTCTAGTTGAAAAAAAAAAAAGCGGCTTTCACAATGTCGGATGTCTTCAATTTGACTCAAACCCTCCAACACTTCCATTAACTGTGGCCCTCATAACTGTGTTCAGGTGCATCCTGTTTACTTTGTCCTCTGCAGAGGTGACACAGCCTCCTGGAAGGACAACCATCTTAGCAGAAAAATATTAATCAGGCTTTTATGTTTAAGTGAATACACAGCCTCCCAAAGTACAGGGCACCTGGAGTTTGTCAAAGAGCGTTTAAAGGAATCTGAGAACCTGAGGACAAAGATTCTCTGGACTGATGGGCAGAACTCAGGACTATATCTGTGAACACCGGGCACTACTCATCACCTGCTAACACCATCCCTACAGTGACGCATGGTGGTGGCAGTATCATGCTATGGGGGGCTTCTCAGCAAACTAATGAGCAGTATAAGTGAAGACGCAGAGATTTAAGCAATTGTCAGTGCATGTACCTGTGCGGTCCTGGTACTTCATTTTAATACTACCTCCTAGGGGGTGCCAAGATTTTGCTTCCAGAATGCACCTCCAAAGTGGGCTGAGTGTAGTGGAAACAAACACAGAACTTGTGACGAGTGTTACTTGGTGCAACACATTGCAGTAGGTTCCTATAATGGAAAACCCCCTATACAGAAAGTGAAGAGAATCGGGCTTGATACTGGAGTTTCTACATAGTACTGAATTAAACTTCGAATGATTTCATAAACGAGACAATCACTTAATCTGTCAGTTTTTCTGGAAGTTAAATCTATTTGAACGCTGCTTCTCCATATTAAAAAGTTTTAACCAGAGTGGATTAAGGAGGAGAGTCATGACATCTCAGCTGAATCTACAAGGACCGATTTTTTACAGTAATGGTGGCTCATGGGAATGCTGAACCATTCCAAGCATTAGCAACAGCACCATATAGTTACACTGACTTGGCTGCCATCTTCTAAAGAAAGAACTTGAAATGAATAACAATAATTGTATGGATGCTGATTCAGCATCCATACTATGTTATCCTATTAATTATTATTA